TATTGCTGAATAATACTTAGAATAGATCTACTACATTTTGCTTATTCATCAGTTGATTGACATTTAGGTGTTTTGCACTTTTTGGCTATTATGAATAATGCTGCTGTGAACAGTCACATACAAGTGTTTATATAGACCTATGTTTTCATTTCTCTTGGGTATATACCTAGGGATGGAATTGCTGAGCTGTACGATAACTTCTTAACTTTTTGAGGCACTGCCAGACTCTTCTAAAGCAGCTAGCTGCACCATTTTATATTCCCACCAGCGTGTATGGGGTTCTGCTTTCTCCACATCCTTGCAACACTTGTCATATGTTTTATCGTCATCCTGTAGTAGGTGTGAAATGGTCTCATTTTGGTTTTGATTTGCATTTCCATGATGACTACTGATGTTGAACATCTCATGTGTTTATCAGTCATTTGTATATCTTCTTAGAAATGTCTTTTTTGGCTGGGCGTGGTGGCTCACGCCTGTAATCCCAGCACTTTGGGAGGCGGGAGGCGAGCAGATCACCTGAGGTCAGCAGTTCGAGACCAGCCTGACCAACTGGTGAAACCCCATCTCTACTAAAAATGCAAAATTAGCCAGGCGTGGTGGCAGGCGCCTGTAATCCCAGCTACTTGGGAGACTGAGGCAGGAGAATTGCTTGAATCCGGGAGGCGGAGGTTGCAGTGAGCCGAGATGGCGCCATTGCACTCCAGCCTGGGGGACAAAAGCGAGACTTCGAGATTTCATCTCAAAAAAAAAAAAAAAAGAAATGTCTTTTTGGTTCCTTTACCCATTTTTAAATTTGGTTGTCTTTTTGTTGAGTGCTAGATGTTTTCTTTATATTCTAGATATAAGACCAAGACTCTTAGCAGATATTAATCACAAAGTTGTATAAAGCGTAAAGACTATGTAATAATAGTAATTTTCCATCACCTATTTTCAACTCTCATCTGCTAAAGGTAAAATTTTAGGGTACCATATAAATTGCCTAAAATATATATACTATAACTTAGTTATTAAGTAATTACCTTTACTATTACCTTTACTATTAAGTTATTAAGTAATTACCTTTACTATTAATGCTACAGTGAATATCCTCTTAACTAAATCTTTGTGTACATTTGTAATTATTTCTTTAGGATAATTTCTTAGAAGTAGAGTTGTGTGTCAGTAGGTACGAATATTTTAAGATTGTTGTTGTTGTTGTTTTCTAGACAGTCTCGCTCTTTTGCCCAAGAGGGAATACAGTGGTGTTGTCATGGCTCACTACAACCTCAGCCTCCTGGGCTCAAGAGATCCTCCCACCTCAGCCCCATCCAAGTAGCTGGGACTACAGGCACACACCACCACACCTGGCTGATTTTTGTATTTTTGTAGAGACGGGGTGCCCAGGCAGGTCTTGAACTCCTGAGCTCAAGCAGACCCTCCGCTTTGGCCTCCCAAAGTGCTAGGATTACAGACATGAGCCAGTGCATCTGGACATATTTTAAGGTTTAGAAGATACACATCTCTTCAAAAAGCTTATACCAGTTTGTACTTTAGCAGCCATGACACATATAAGAATGCTTTTCCTAACATTGGATATTGCTAGTAAGTTTGGATATTTTGAAATTTTTAATTGCTTTTTAAATTTCTATGCATAATTATCTTTCAGGATATGATAAGAGAAATCACTACCATAAAAAGCTTCTGCTTGTCCTGCCATAATGGGCAACTTCTAATTCAACTTATTTTGAAAATGATCGTGTATCTTTTTATACATGTCTTATAAAATTTTCTGTATATTAGTTGTTTATAGATTTGCCAAAATCGGTTTGGCTGCTTCTCTGGGGAAGGAGAAGGGATGTTGCATGTGTAAATCTGGCTACCTTGCCAGGAATGGGTGTAGGTAATATAGATAGTGCAAATTAAGATGAACTATTACTGCTTTCTTTCATTTATTCCTTCGACATTGAGTGCCTAATCTGTGCCAAGTATTAATACTATTCTAGGCATTGGGGGATACAGCAGTGAGCAAAATGGCCAAAGTCCCTGCCTTCATTAAGCTTTCATTCTAGTAGATGAGATAGACAATAAAAAAGATAAAGTACTTTGGGCCAGGCACAGTCGCTCACACGTATCATCTCAACACTTTGGGAGTCCAGCGTTGGTGGATTGGTTGAGCCCCGGAGTTTGAGACCAGCCTAGGCAATATAGTGAGACCTTGTCTCTACTAAATAGAAAAAAAGTCAACCAGGTGTGGTGGCATGTGCCTGTAGTCCCAGCTGCTCAGGAGGCTGAGGTGGGAGGATTGCTTGAGCTCAGTAGATTGAGGCTGCAGTGAGTGGTGATTGCGCCACTATACTCCAGCCTGGGTGACAGAGCAAGATACTGTCTCAAAAAACAAAAAGAGAAAAAGAAAAACAGTACATTGGACAGTGGTTAGTGCTAAGGAGGAAAAAGGCACAGGAGGGTAGTGTTCCTAATGTTTAGAGAGGAGGGGTGAAATTTGAGGTAGGGTGGTCAGGGGAGACGTCATTGACTTGTATAAAGACTGAAGGCAATGAGAAACCAGCTATATGAACACATGAGAAGAGCATTTTAAGTTCTTTTGGAAACTCACTTTTAGAATAATCTGTGTTCTCTGTGTTTTGTTTTAACAGAGGCTAGTATTACCAGCTTGAAACAAGCTGCCCTGGTCAAAGCCCCTCTCATTCCGACTTTGAACACAATTGTTCAGTATCTAGACCTTACTCCAAATCAGGAATACTTGTTTGAAAGGATCAAAGGTAATTATTGATTGGAAGAGGAAAAAATGAGAGCTTTTTTACTACACTGGAATTTATCAGTAAAGATTAACAAGGAAAAACCATTTTAATTACAAGTATAATTTATGTCTTATAAATACATGTTAATTTTGGCTTAATTTTATTTTGTGTAGGAAACTTAAATATGAGCTAAATGGGCTCCAGTGAATATTTCACTCATTTCCTACTTTTAGACTCGTAAGAATGGGTGCCACTATGACATACTTTATAGTTCTAGCATGCTGAGCCTTATTTCTCTTAATTTTTATAATTCCTATTTAATAAGTTCTTTCCTTATATTTCTGTTATATTCTTACTATTTGGTGGAAGATGTGCTCTTCTGAGGAGACTGACTTGAGAATCAGGAAATGTTGCCTCCCTGACACCCCCATACACCCTCTATGCCTCTCTACTTACGTAGCAATTCATAAAGTTAGAATTTTTTAAAATTTGGATAAACTTTTTAAAAGGTTCTCATCACTAAGACAAGTTTTAGAAATAGTATTCAAATTTATCGTAAATCTTAATTTGAAAATATTATAGTGTTCTCCCTTTCCCCTAAGGTTAGAGCAGGGTTCAGGAATAAACATTTTTCATGACTTTTTAAAGCATTTTATATAAGGAGAATTTCAAACATACACAATACTAGACAAAATAGTATACACATACCTCTTGTACACATCACCCAGCCCCAACAATCACTAGTCCCTAGCCAGCCCCTGCCCTATCCACTTTCTTCCTGTATTATTTGAAGCAAGCCCTCATGTCATTATCAGTTCATTTGTAAATATTTCTTTGTATATCACTAAAAGATAAGCCTCCCGCGACCGCCTGCTTTTGAGACAGTGTCTTACTATGTTACCTAGGGTGGTCTCCAACTCCTAGGCTTAAGCAGTCCTCCTACCACAGCCTCCCAAAGTGCCGGGATTATAGACATGTACCCCACTGAGCCTTTAGAAAACTGATAAAACCATACATAACCACAATACAATTATCTTTTTTTTTTTTTTTTTTTTTGAGATGGAGTCTCTCTCTGTTGCCCAGGCTGGAGTGCAGTGGTGCAATCTTGGCTCACTGCAACCTCCACCTCCCAGGTTCAAGCGATTCTCATGCCTCAGCCTCCTGAGTAGCTGGGATTACAGGCATGCACCACCATGCCCCAGCTAATTTTTGTATTTTTAGTAGAGACGGGGTTTCACCATGTTGGTCAGGCTAGTCTTGAACTCCTGACCTTATGATCCATCCACCTCGGCCTCCCAAAGTGCTGGGATTATAGTCGTGAGTCACCACACCTGGCCACAATTATCATTCTTAATATTCTTTTTTTTTTTTTTGAGACAGGGCTCACTCTGTCACCCAGGCTGGAGTGCAGTAATGGCGCTAGTGCAGGAGTGTATAGACCTTGCAGCCTTGAACTCCTGGCTATGGCAATCCTCCCTCCTTAGCCTCCCAAAGTGCTGGGATTATAGGAGTGAGCCACCATGCTGCCTAGCCCTAATATTTCCTGTGTTATGAGATATTAAGTCTGTTCAAATTTCCAGCTATCTCATAAAAATACATAATTTTTTGGCAATGTTTGTTTGAATTGGGATTCGAATATTGTAATACATTGCAGTTGGTTATTTCAGTTTATTTTAAGCTATATGCTTCCCATCCACCCTCTTTTTTTTCCCTTTGCAATTTATTTGTCAGAAGAACTGGATTGTTTGTCTTGTAGAGGTTCCCATAGTGTGGGTTTTGCTGAATGCATCCCTATGGTGTAGTTTACATAACCCCTTCTCTTTCCCATAAATTCGTGTTTGAGTTTTTTGGCAAGATTGCCTTGTAGTTAGCAGAGTATTTGTACATCCAAAAAAAGAGTCTGTGTATGTACACATTTATACAAAGTATATAAAGGGTTTATATAAAATATACAAAAAAGATTAAAAGAATACACTGGGCCAGGCACAGTGGCTCATGCCTGTAATCCCAGCACTTTGGGAGGCCAAGGCGGGTGGATCACAAGGTCAAGAGATCGAGACCATCCTGGCTAACACAGTGAAACCCCACCTCTACTAAAAATAAAAATTAAAAAATTAGCCGGGCGTAGTGGCAGGCGCCTGTAATCCCAGCTACTCGGGAGGCTGAGGCAGGACTGTGGCGTGAACCCGGGAGGCGGAGCTTGCAGTGAGCCAAGATCGCACCACTGTCTACGCTCCAGCCTGGGCGACAGAGAGAGACTCCGTCTCAAAAAAAAAAAAAAAAAATTGCAGTGAACACTCTCCTGGTCTAGATTGGATAGTTAGCAACCTTTTGACATATTTGATTCATTCTTTCTACGTATATATACACACACACATTTTTTTTCTTGCTGTGCTATTTGAAAGTACATTGAAAGTACTTTTTAGCATGCATTCTCCTACCTAACCATAATACAATTATCGTACCTTAAAAAAATAATAATTTTCTGATATTGAATATATTGTCCATATTCAAATTTTCCCTACCCATCGACTTTTTTTTCAAGAAGCCAGAATAGTAGTCAGATAAATCTAAAATCCCACATTTTGGATTTATCTGATTTCTTCAGGGACATGTTTATCTTTTTATATCTTACATTTCTTTAGGTTTGGGTGTTTTGATCAAGTTTTTAAAATGATTTGCTTCCCTTATTATATTCCCTTAGCCTTTTTTTTTTTCCTTTTTTGCTTACTCTTAGCTTTTAAAAATTTCACCTTGTTGCCACAGAACTCTCTCAGGGAGGTTGTATGAGCTCATTTCGATGGAACAGAGGTGGTGACTTCAAAGGACGAAAGTGGGATACAGACCTGCCCACCGATTCTGCTGTAAGTCCCTAGATTCATTCATTCATTTATTTATTGTTGATTGACTGACAGACACAGGGTCTCACTCTGTCACCCAGGCTGTAGTGCAGTGGCATAGTCACGTCTCACTGCAGCTTTGATCTCCCAGGGCTCAAGTACTCCTCCCAGCTCAGCCTCCCAAGTAGCTGGGACTAGGCCCGAGCCACCACACCCAGTTAATTTTTTAAATTTTTTGTGGAGATGGGGTCTCACTTTTTTGCCCAGGCTGGTCTTGAAGTCCTGGGTTCAAGTGATCCCCTTGCCTCAGCTTCGCGAAGTGCTGGGTTTACAGACATGAGCTACTGTGCCTGACCCTTAGATTTATTTTGTTTTTTCAGTTTAATGTTTCCGTTACTGGATTTATGTGTTTTTGTTTGCCTATCATAAGAATAAGTATTAAAAAATGATTTAGAAAATAAGGTATTTATAATAGTATCAGCATGTTCACCCAACCACTGTTAATATTTTTGTGTATTTTTTCCTTTTACTTGGTTGCTACTGTTTTTTAATGTTTTTATCATTTTGTAATTCTCCTGTATGTAAAATTATGTGTTCTTCCACTTCTGTAATATTTAGGGTTTTTTTTTACTTCAACCTCCCCTTACCTAGATATTTTTTCATTATTACACACTGTCATTTAACTATTCTCCTATAGTGAACCTGAAAGTTTGAGACACTTTTGGTAGAGAAAGGACATTTACTTGTTTTTTGATCTTAAGTAATACAGCATGCAAATAGTGTGATGCGCATTGCTTTCTTGGGATTGTCACTTTAAGAGAGACTCCTATAATTATATTTAGGAGATCAAAGAACATAAATGTTCTTGTGTGCTTATGAGGTTTTCAAAATTATGTTCTCTCTTTTTTTTTTATAGTGACTGTTACGGGTGAAAATTAAGTTTTATGTTGAGATTCAGATTGAGAATTGAATGTATTTTATCTTGGTTTTGCTATTAACTGTGTTGGTATGAATGATCCACTTAGCAAAAAACTAAGAATGCCCTGCTTTTCTAGGGTTGCTATGGAAAACTAAAAATGTAGATCAAATATGTAGGGACTGGGAGTCTGGTGTTTAAGCCCCACTCTCTACCCCTACCCTCAACAGATAATGGTAACTTTGTAGGCTAGAGTATTTAAACTTTTTCAATTTGAAAAGGAAACCTTCCCATCAAAATATAGACTGATTTGATGGCAAATATCTTTTTCTATTTTAAATTTTGAGTAGATTATTTGAATTAAGCCTAGCTTCATGTCTTAAACACACTGAATTCCTTTATGATTTAGGAGAGGAATTAGTGAATTCCTTATCTTTATAGGAAATAATACTTTCAATTAAAAGAATAGGTGTGCTACCTGAAGTATGTGTTTTTATCTTTTTATTCTACAGATTTTATCTTGTAAATCTAACCATTTGACAGCATTTTTCTAATTCACTCTTTAGAGAAAAATTTTTTAATTGGAATCGTTATAAATACAGATGTTTCTGAAGGGCTACATCCATGCTAGATTTTCATGCTGACTTAAAAAAATTATTTCTTCATCCTCAGATCATCATGCATGTATTTTGCACCTACCTTGACTCTAGATTACCTCCACATCCGAAGTATCCCGACGGAAAAACTTTTACTTCTCAGCACTTTGTTCAGACACCAAATAAACCAGGTATAAACCTCTCCTAAAAGAATGTGTTGAGATTTTCACACAAAATGTCTCTGGGGGTTTGGTTTTTTAATGCAGCATACTTCCTTCCTTTACAGATGTTACGAATGAGAATGTTTTTTGCATTTATCAGAGTGCCATCAACCCTCCCCATTATGAGCTCATCTACCAGCGTCATGTATACAACCTGCCAAAGGTATTTCTATATAGAGAAGATGTTACAGAATGTCTTGGGTGATTTGCTTTGATGATGTTTTTAAAATTATAATCTCATGTTAATAGAAGAAGTAAATTTTTTAAATTAGGGAAAATGTGTTTCATACATATATATTTCTTACTATAAAAGTAGTATGTGCTTAATTTGGGAAAGTATAAAGAATAAGAAGGAAACTCACTCATTCCATTACCTGAGGCAGCCATTGTTGATTTTTTGTTTGGTATATTGCCTTTTGGTAAATTTCATTTTGGTCTTATGTCTCTTTTTAGAGGCAGAGTCTAGCTCTGTCACCCAGGCTGGAGTGCAGTGGCATGATCATAGCTCATTGTAGCCTTGAACTCATGGGCCCAAGAAGTCCTTCCACCTCAGCCTCCCAAGTAGCTAGGACTACAAGCACATACTAGTATACCTGGCCAATTTGTTTTTTGTAGAGACAGAGTCTCTCCATGTTAACTCAGGCTGGTCCTGTACCCCTGGCCTTAAGCAGTCCTCCTACCTTGGCCTCCTAAAGTGCTGGAATTACAGGTGTGAGCCATTGCACCTGGCCCTTTCTTTATATTTTTTATGGGCTAAAATGATTTATGTAGTTTTATATCTGCTTTTAAATATTAGCTTATAGCATAATTTTCCATACTATTAAAAAATCTTCATAAATTTTTTGTTTGTTTGTTTTTGTTGTTGTTGTTTTTTTTTGAGATAGAGTGTCACTCTGTTACCCAGGCTGGAGTGCAGTGGCGCAATCTCGGCTTACTGCAACCTCTGCTTCCTGGGTTCCAGCAATTCTCCTGCCTCGGCCTCCCAAGTAGCTGGGATTACAGGCACCCACCACCACGCCCGGCTATTTTTTTATATTTTAGTAGAGATAGGGTTTCACCATGTTGCCCAGACTGGTCTCAAACTCCTGAGCTCAGGCAATCTGCCCACCTTGGCCTCCCCAAGTGCTGGGATTACAGGCATAAGCCACCATGCCCAGCCTAAAAATAGTTCTTAATGGCTATAAAAAAAACTTCACTAGTATAATTTATTTAACCATTTCTCTACTGTCGTACATTTTGGGTATTTCTAATTTTTTATTATAAATACTGCTGAAAAGGCTGAGGCAGGTGGATCACGAGGTCAGGAGATCGAGACCATGCTGGCTAACACGGTGAAACCCCATCTCTACTAAAAATACAAAAAAATTACCGGGCCTGGCTGGCGGTGTGCGCCTTTAGTCCCAGCTGCTGAGGAGGCTGAGGCAGGAGAATGGCGTGAACCCAGGAGGCAGCGCTTGCAGTGAGCCGAGATTGTGCCACTGCACCCCAGCCTGGGTGACAGAGCAAGACCCCGTCTCAAAAAAATAAAATAAAATAAAATGAAAATAAATAATGCTGAAAATGTATCTTCATGCATACAGCTATCTGCATTTCTTTAGCCCAGAGTTCTAAAAGTGGAATTCTAGGTCAAAATATTTTTAAGACTTTAAAAATAACATATTACCAAATTACTTTATAATAAAGGTATTGTATCAATTTATACTTCCATTAATGTGTTTTACTTTTTTTGAGGTAGTCTTGCTGTGTTGCTTAGGCTGGTATCACATTCCTGGGTTCAAGCAATCCTCCTGACTCAGCCTGTTGAGTAGCTAATTACAAGCACATACAGGTTTTTTACTCTTTTTTTTTTTTTTTCCTGAGACAGAGTCTTGCTCTGTTGCCCAGGCTGGAGTGCAGTGGCGCAATCTTGGCTCAGTGCAACCTCTGCCTCCCAGGTTCAAGCAATTCTCCTGCCTCAGCCTCCCGAGTAGCTGGGACTACAGGCGCCCACCACACTTGGCTAATTTTTTTTTTGTATTTTTAGTAAGAGACGGGGGTTTCACCGTGTTAGCCAAGATGGTTTTGATCTCCTGACCTTATGATCCGCCTGCCTTGCCCTCCCAAAGTGCTGGGATGATAACAGGCATGAGCTGCCACACCCAGCCTGGTTTTTTACTCTTGATTACAAGCATCAGTTCTGTTGATAACCTTTGTAATTATTTTTGTTACCAGCATCTTTACTGAGAAATTTTACATTGGCTATAGTGATAAATTGTGCTATCAGATTCTCAGGAAGATATATTAATTTCTTTCAAGTTTAATATTTTGTCTTTGTATGTAAATACTTTGGGCCATTGAAGTTCTTGTGAATATCCATGCCAATCTTTGTTTTTTAACCACTATCTGTTTTTTTTTCCTTTTCCTTATAGTGTAAACATTATCTTCTAAAAATCATACATTCTCTCAGATTCTTGAGTTAAAAACACATTAAATCAGAGTAAGTGGGGAAAAGTTAACCTGTAAATTGAAAATCTAAATTTGGAGCTGTTTTTACAAACCAAAAATTACATATAATAGTTTGATTTTAGAGCTAGCAATATGCTGCCTAGTATTCCCTTGCAGATAAAATAAATTCATATTTAATATGTTATTTATATGCTAAAGTATATTCTGATATATTTTAAAGTATGACTCAAACCTTTTTTTATCCCAACACTTGTTTATGCCATTACTTTGGGGGATAGAGCATTTTTGTGTGTGTAGTGTACGGGGCACCAACCTCAGAATAGCTCTTCAGGCTCTTCCAGGCCTTAGTAAGTGTTTCTCCCCATGTGTGAACACAGCCCCCCGGCCCCCCAGTATGTTACCTTTCTGCTCATCTTTTAGGTTGCAGCTTAAAATACAAAAAAAAAATTAGCCGGGCGTGGTGGCGGGCACCTGTGGTCCCAGCTACTCGGGAGGCTGGGGCAGGAAAATGGCGTGAACCTGGGAGGTGGAGGTTGCAGTGAGCTGAGATCACACCACTGCACTCCACCCTGGTCGACACAGCGAGACTCCGTCTCAAAACAAAACAAAAACATCTTTCCTTCAGGGAGGCATTCTGTCGCTAACCAGCCTAAATCAGACACTGCATCTTCATATGTTCCTGTGGCACCTCCTCTCACAGCATTCCTCACGCTTTGTTGTGATTCTTAGTTTACTGTCTGCCTTCCCTACTGGCTCTTAGGTCCTTGATTACATGTATCCTTTCTGTCTTCCTCACTGCAGTATTCCCACTTCCTAGCACAAAGCGTGGGTATTTTGTTTAATGAATACATGAAAGTCTGAATTGTATGGAATTCTGAGTTAGTAGGATATGAATTGATAAGATATACATTTACCTACCAGACTGAATCTTTTTGGTTTGGATTGAATCTTGTCTTTTTTGTTTTTGTTCCAGGGCAGAAATAATATGTTTCATACATTGTTGATGTTTCTGTACATCATAAAGACCAAAGAGTCAGGAATGCTTGGGTAGGTACTTATGCATTAAAAACGTAAGTAGTTATTTACTGATTTTCTTCCTATGTTAAGATTCTGCAGAAGGCAGCAGCATGTAACTGAAGATTTATGGATTGAACAATAGATAATGGCTTCAGCCCTGTCACAAACTACCTCTGCTATTTCGGGCAATCCATTAGCTACCTCCTCAGAACCCATTGGTAAAAGGCAAGTGGACTACATCGTTAGCATTATAGTTGTGTTCCCTGAAGGAATAATTCAGAGATAGATAAAAATTAGACTCTTGCCATTTAAAAAAAATTTTCTTTTTAAAATCTGGAGTCTGTTTTTTTCCAAGCCATTTCATTTCAGACACGAAGCATTCTGCAAAGTGTTTACAATTCCAGAGAGACGGAGTCGGTACCCATTCCATAATATCATTAACTGCAATGGAAAAGTAGTCAGTTGAAATCATTTACATACTTGGTAACAAAGCTCACATATTGCAAGACATTCAAAATTTTAGTATTTTCATTTCGATGATTAGAAATTTTAGTGTATCAAATGACATATGAGATAAGTAGACCCCAGCTAAAGCTAGGGATATTTGTAGTGCCTGATCTGGGAGTTGGAAAACATGGGTTCTGGGTCCAGCTCTGCCATACTAAGTAACCTGAGGCTAATAAAAAAAAACAAAGGGATGGGCTTGGAGCAGAAGGGATTGTGGTCATTTCCACTTCGGATATGCATGCACCTTTAAGTTTTAGATAGCATCCTGTAAACTGTAATTTAGAGTTTATACATGTCCTAGAACTGTGCTGTCCAGCCACCAGCCCCGTGTGGCACTGAACACTTGAAGCAGGACTAGTCCAAACTGAGGTGCACTAAAGTGTAAAATGTGTAACAGATTTCAAAGACATAACCCCCAAAAAGTAAGATAACTCCTTAAAAATTGTATATATTTGTTACATATTGAAATACTAGTTTGGATAGATTTAGTTAAGTGGAATATATTCTTAAAATTAATTTGACCTGTTTATTAGGTATCTACTAGAAAATTTAAAATTATGTGGCTTGCATTTGCTCTCATACCATATTGTATTTTTGTTGGACAGCACTGCTGTAGAGAAAGCAAAGCTCCTGTCTTTAAATGTATTAGATGCAAAGATTAAAACAGACATGAACAGAAATTTGTAAACAAATATGAACATTTATTAGCTTTTTTTTTGAGGTGGAGCCTCGCTCTTTTTTTTTTTTTTTTTCCTTTTGTGATGGAATCTCGCTCTGTCGCCCAGGCCGAAGTACAGTGGCACTATCTCAGCTCACTGCAACCTCTGTCTCCCAAGTAGCTGGGACTATAGACACCCGCCACCATGCCCGGCTATTTTTTGTATTTTTGGTAGAGACGGGGTTTCTCCATGCTGGTCTCAAACTCCTGACCTCAGGTGATCCGCCTGCCTGGCCTCCCAAAGTGCTGTAATAACAGGCGTGAATCACCATGCCCAGCTATTAGCTTCTTTTATCATATATTTTTTCCTGTTAGAAAGATTAGGAAACTCACTTTTGTGGGGCATCTAAACTAACAGGGTTTTTTATTTTTAAATTATGAAAATAATGCATACTCAGTAGACAAGTATTTAACACAGCAGTGTATAAACTAGAACTAATTTCTAATTATGTGTAGAGACAGTATCTCACTATATTGCCCAGGCTGTGATCCACCCACCTGCCTTGGCCTTCTAACGTGCTGGGATTACAGGCATAAGCCACTCCACCTGGCTTTATTTTTGTTTCTTTTGCTTAAAAATGTATTGTATCCAAACATAGTACTTTATGACCTAATTTTTAGTCTTATGGTATATCTTGGACATTCTCCCATGTCAAATTTTCCCTAAAATGTCTAGGAAAGTTTGGTTATAAATATACTTATACATATATATTAGATGGAATATGGAATTTGATAGAAAAATGTTGTTAATACAGGTCAAGTATTCTTTATCTGAAATGCTTGGAACCAGGAGTGTTTCAGATTTGATTTTCTCCAGTTTTGGAATATTTGGAATAATTACTGGCTGAGCATCCCTAATCTAAAACTCCCCAGAATGCTCCAGTGAGCATTTCCTTTGAGCATCATGTTGTCACTCAAAAAGTTTTGGGTTTTGGAGCATTTCGGATTTTCAGATTATAGGTGCTTAACCGGTATAATATAAATAAACAATTTTTGGTTTTAATTGAAAATGTATCTTTTCCTCTGTGAATCCAAATTGGTATTTTGATGCATAAATGGTTTGTCATGATAGCATGAGGTTTGAGTGCCATATACAGTCTGTCATATGCATTAAAATGAAAAAGTGCTTAGTGGAGCAGCACTTTTTCATTTACTGAAATGTAATGAAATTTACTGAAAGGCCAAAAGAAATTGATACAATTTTTAAAGCGCTATCTTCTCTTAATGAGCAACTTATATATAGAAAATTAAGCATTTTAGACTAAAGCTAGTGTTTTTAAACTCAGGGGGAAAAGCTTAGAAATTATTAACCTTTTGAACATGAATAATTTTTTAAATACATCCTAAAACAAATAGTTAAAAACTTTCCTATAACTTAAAAGAAATGACTGAGTGGCTCAAATATAGTCCATTTGGATTTATGACCATAAACCCACAGATTGATCCAAATACATTATCAATTTAATGCCAGATATTTGTGCAGTAACAGGAATCAGATGAATGTCCTACTTGCAAAAGGAAAAAAATCTAGACAGAATTCACTGCACAGTGACTTAAATGTCCTGTTCAGGAAAAAACACTATAAAGTTTAAAGTTAAATGACAAACTGAAACAAAGCATTATTCTGCTATAATATAAGCAGTAGTAATTGGGTTTGCAAATATAGCAAATCCAAGCTCATATTTGTTATATATAAAGAACATATATGATTTTATTAGAAAAATGGACAAAGGCATGGAAGATTTCTTCATAAAGTGTTTAGACAGCTCCTAAACACAAAAAGATGCTTAGACTCTTGCACAAACAAGTCAAAATTAACTTTTTTTTCTATCAGATTTGATATTTATCATGTGTAGTGTCGGTGAGGGTGTGAAGAAATGGAAAATACAGTTGATAGAAATTACCTGTTTTGAAGGGCATTTTTGGCAGCTTTTTACCAAAGTTAATACCTTCTCATAATTTAAAAAGTCATAGAGGGCTAAAAGTTCATGACAGAAATGAGCAATTCCCTGTATTCCCCAAGTCTGCTTCCCAAAGTAGACCGTAGTCCCTCAGTGGCTTTTTCTTCTGTTATTACTCTCATAGTTCCAAATAATAGAGGTTTACAGCTCTCTTGATTCTTCAGTTTCAGATATTCTCTATTGATTTTTTTATTTTGTTAGGTGAGTAATTTCTTTCTCTTGTAACCCTCTTATTCCCTCAGACTTTGTTTTTTTTTGTTTTTGTTTTTTGTTTTTTGTTTTTTGAGACGGAGTCTCGCTGTGTCTCCCAGACTGGAGTGCAGTGGCGTGATATCGGCTCACTGCAAGCTCCGCCTCCCGGGTTCAC